CTTGCCTTATTCCGCGATGTCAAAGGGATTCGCGACGGCGGAGAACGCCAACTCTGTCCGGGTTTTTGCTTAGATTGGATGATGCGATTAAAAGAATGAGTCGCCAAGTTGCCGAGACGATTTCTTTTAAACAGTTTCACTTAAATCGAGGCAGGAAGATTGCCTCGGCGATGCTGGGAGGGCAAGACAACACGCCAGCAAACATGTCAGAGAGCCGGGTCAACAAGGCAGATGAGGACAGGATGCTCATAACGGCGGTGCAGACGCTAGCCCAAGACAACACATAGCAGCAGCTTAGTAGCAATCATAGCTCTTGTGGCCTCGGAATGTCAATTCAGTAGTCGGGAAGATCAGCTCAAATAAAAGTTAATATCGCCACGAGCATTTTGTATGAGGGTTTGAAGGTACAGCAGGAAGTGGAATAATAACCATCACAAAAACACACAATTTCCAAACTAAGAAAGATAGAGCCTCGAGAAAAAAAAACCCAGAGGATTGGTCTCCACGAGATCTCGCGATGTGCAATAAGTTTTTTGACGCTTGATCAATAACTAGCCCCACTTGACCACGTCAAATGTCCTGAAAAGTGAACAATTTCAGCTTTGCATGCCGGCACATACGAAACCACGTCACGTAGTGGCATCAACTATGAACAGGCGTGTTGCTTGCTGAAACCTGATAAAAATGCGCATTTTTTGCATTAGTGAGCACCTGTTTACGTTATAGCACGGTGTGACGACAGTGTGGCAGTGACGTGTGGCAGTGACAGTGTGGCAGTGACGTGTGGCAGTGACGTGTGGCAGTGACAGTGTGGCAGTGGCGTGTGGCAGTGACAGTGACGGACCGCCGCGCCCGATCAGCGGAGTCGCCTGCTGCCGCCCGCCGCCCGCAGGGCGCGCGCAACGAATGTCCAAGGGCCTAACAGAAATTTGAACGCAACTGCACAACGTACAGGACGAGCGCTAGCTCGCGCAACTGAACTGCGTTTCAGAGCTTATCATAGACATAGGAACAGAGGGGACATAGGGGCATAGAAAAAGCGCAACTGAACTGCGTTTCAGAAATTATAACAGACATAGAAACAGCGGGGAGGGGGGGTCAAGAAGGGTCATGGCCGTCCCACTTTCCAATGTGGGAGGCCAACATCGTTAACTGTCCCTACCACCACCTTTTAAGACATGATCTCTTAAGTTTACCTTTGATGTATTCCAAACATGCATAATGATGCATTCATTGAGTCCACCAGCCATTTACCTCAATATGGATTGCATGCAACTGCCTGAATTGTAGAAGAATACTTGCATTAATTGCGTGTAAATCTACGGTAGCATCTGATACTATTCCTACCGCCGGCGAGGGGAGCCTTGTTAAAGGGAACGCCAGCGCACGCTGGTACACAAAGCTCCGATCAATCTGTTTAGCCTTAGATTTGCCTGCCCGCTCAGAGCCCGCAGGACACGTTCATAAAGTTCAAGATCGGTAAACAGACTTTAGGCCCGTTACCGTGTGTGTTTGGGGGGCGGAGGGGGGGGGGCTAAATAAATGCTCGGTGAAATAACTTGTGCCTCAGCCGGTCCGTTAGCTTGCTTCAATTTAATATGTGTTGGGGTGTCCACGAAGACAAGTCTGAAATAGGTGCTGTAGCAAGTGTCCCATCTGCTACACACACCAATGATTAGTTGTCCCGATCTTCAAGAGTCATCAAGCCATCAAGTGATCCCGTGCGGTTTATGGCCTTGCGAGTATACAAAGAGTATACAAAGGCTGCGATAATGGGAAACAGCACTGGGAAGTGATCACATATGCTTCATATATGTGTATCACCCTTGCTTCATATATGTGTATTACATGTGGGACACCTGCAGGAATAGCTGGTTTGGTATCATTAATTACAAAGCAACGACGAGCCTGCACCAACGACCCCTCCCCTCCCACTCCGCACACTTTTTGAAACGTCTCCACGCCTGTGGAGCCATTTACCGCTGCTGCGCTGCTCCATTGCCGATGCGGCCACTGGCGATCGAGGACGTCTTGGCCTGAGATTTTCCCGTTTCAAACAGACCTATAGAGGCCACTCTGTAGCTATCAGCTGCCTGTGCAAGAGCTGCCTTTGATCTCGCTGTTCGCCACCACGTGCTGCTGCGTGTATGTGTCAATGTCACGCGTAACTAGATCTCGTCAGCGGCCTGTTCCTAAGGTGGCCGGGATTATTAGTGACCAGGTCCAGAGACCATCTGTCTCCGAAGTGACAACTCCGCAGGGCGTTGGTGACCTGTGTCCGGTGGTGACCTGTCTCCGTGCGGTGACCCACTCCCGTGTGGTGGACAGTTCGGCCACCTGTCGCGGACAGTGGTGACCTGTGTCCGGTGGTGACCTGTCTCGGTGCGGTGACCCGCTCCCTTGTGGTGGCCAGTTCGGCCACCTGTCGCGGACAGTGGTCACGTGTCCGGGTGGGGCAGCCTGACACCCGTGCTCGTCTGTCCCTGACCTGTCTGGATGGGGCAGCCTGACACCCGTGCTCGTCTGTCCCTGACCTGTCTGGATGGGGCAGCCTGACACCCGTGCTCGTCTGTCCCTGACCTGTCCGGGTGGGGCAGCCTGACACCCGTGCTCGTCTGTCCCTGACTTGTCCGGATGGGGCAGCCTGACACCCGTGCTCGTCTGTCCCTGACCTGTCCGGGTGGGGCAGCCTGACACCCGTGCTCGTCTGTCCCTGACCTGTCCGGGTGGGGCAGCCTGACACCCGTGCTCGTCTGTCCCTGACCTGTCCGGGTGGGGCAGCCTGACACCCGTGCTCGTCTGTCCCTAACCTGCTCCGGCGCTGATCTGACCTAGCGCGGCGCCTGTCCCAGTGGGATGACCTGTCCGGGGAGGCCGACCTGACCTGATCTGATCTGATCGCGGCGGCCGGCGGCGCGGCCCGTGGCCGCGTCGCTGTGGGGTGGCGGCGGTGACCCACCTCCCATCCGAGGCCGTCGCGGTCCCGCCGCTCGCGTCCGAGCCCGGTCAGCTGCAGCAGGCGCTCCACCTCGGCGCGGCAGTGGTCGGCCACCTCGCCCGGCCGCAGCGGCGCGCCGCACACGGGGCAGCTGGACGGGTCGACCGGTGACGCCGCCCGCTCTGTCGGCACACACACACATGGCACGTCAGGGCACCATCGGAGACCGCTCCACCCGGCTCCACTCTGCGCGTCACGCGGCGACGGGTCGGTACACGAGACACCGCCCGCTGTCAAGTACACATGGCGGTGTCACATCCGAGCACAGAGCGGACCGGAGCCGGCACCGGTCCTGCCGCGCACGCGGCGTCAGGTCGGTACCCGAGACACCGCCCGCTCTCCAGTACACACGGCGGTGTCACATCCGAGCACAGAGCGGACCGGAGCCGGCACCGGTCCTGCCGCGCACGCGGCGTCAGGTCGGTACCCGAGACACCGCCCGCTCTCCAGTACACACGGCGGTGTCACATCCGAGCACAGAGCGGACCGGAGCCGGCACCGGTCCTGCCGCGCACGCGGCGCACAGCGCTGGGTCGGTCCAGGATGGAGCAGAGGTGGCGTCCGCCCCGGCCGGTCCACGGCCCGCGACGCCAAATTGGGATGAACAAGATGACTCGGGGTAAGCGCGCTTCAACTGCACGGTTGTACAGGGACCAACGGATGGGCTGTTTTCCTCGCTGGTCCACCACTGTAACAATAAGCCCGACGAGGCTGAACAAATGACCACTCGCCCCCGCCGTCGGCTGCGTTCCCGCGGGCGCGTCGACGGCCGGGCGCGGCGCCACCAAATTATCGCCCGCATCACAGCGCCCATTGAGCGGAGCGCCGCCGCTCGGCCGGCCCATACATCACCCGACCATCGCCGACCGGCTCGGCACCTTCTCAAAAGCGGCGCGCCCGCGCCCCGTTTAATAAGAGGTCGGGTGGTGGGCCGTGCCGTCCCGGAGGCCGTCCGTCAGCGGCCGCCGGCCAGCCAACAGCCGTCATAAGTTGACGTCAGCGGCAGCAATTGGCGGCGGCGGCTTATTGCGCCGGGCGGCTCGTCAGCAGGACATGACATATACCCCGGCCGAGGAGGACGGCCGTCCCGACAGGAGAGCGGAGAGGACATGACAAAACTCGGGCCGAGGAGGACGGCCGTCCCGGCAGGAGAGCGGAGAGGACATGACAAAACCCAGGCCGAGGAGGACGGCCGTCCTGGCAGGAGAGCGGAGAGGGCATGGCAAAACCCAGGCCGAGGAGGACAGCCGTCCCGGCAGGAGAGCAGAGAGGACATGACAAAACCCAGGCCGAGGGGACGGCCCGTCCCGGCAGGAGAGCGGAGACATGCCGCCGCAGACCTGCTGCACTCTCGAATAGGACGAGAGCTCAGTCGGGCGCGCAGAGGTGCCGACGGGCTGGGCACGGCCCAGGTGGGGGCCGGGTTGTCAGCGCGGAGGCTTGGAGCGCATCGAACTTTTAACAACGGATGTACCAAAAGTGGCGAACTTTACATGACGTCTTAAACAATAACGAACAAAACGTGCGGAGTTAAACAAGTCCGTTCCCAGAAACGTACGGCGGTGATCCAAATGGGTCGCAGGAAACATCAGCACTGGCAAAAACCGTTAAGGTAAATCACGTGCGCGCTGGGATCAGCCCCAGTTCCAATCAGACGAGCGCGCGAGTGGCGAGGGGACGCCGTCGCCACCGCAGGCTAGAGAGGCCAGCAGGCAGACGCCACGTCGCCGCCGCCGTCGCCGCCGCCTCGAGCAGATGGCGCCACCTCATATCGGCTTCCGCACAATTTGTCATAGGTGCCAATTGATGATGTGGCGGTAACAAGTGGCGCTGAGCGCGAATTAAGTCGGCAGGCGGCGCGGTAAAAAGGCCGCCAGCAATCACGCGCGCCGCAATCACTGCCCCTCCCCTCTGACACGATCGGGGGGGAGGGGGGGGGGGGCGCCGCATCAGCCGCAGCTCGTGCGCCGAAGACCGAGCGGCGGCACGGAGCGGGCACCGATCAGGGCAGGGCGTCAGCTGCCGGCGGGGCGATCGTCGGCGGTGGGGCACGCGCCGCACGCCGCTCAGAAACAAACATCAGCCAGTGAAAGTCGGCGTTGAAAAGCGCCGTGTAAAATACCCCACATTATACAAATAATTGAAAGAACTGAAAGTTGCACTTCGCGGCATGCACTTGTCAACGTTTCAAATGTGCATATTATGAAGCTCGCAATAATTTCACCCCCACATGAATAGACAGGGTAGGACGGCCCCTGCCGCTTTGAAGCTCGGTCGAACGGCCGCTAAGTGGCCCTGAATCTGTCACCGGGAACATTGTGCGCCGGCGAGCGGGAAAGGCGGCGAGCGGCCAAACGACCGGCAATACACAGGGCTCCAATACAAGTCACCGATGGCTCGAGAGCGAGGAAGGGGAGCACGCCACGCGGGCGAGGGTGGCCGGAGAAAGAACGGCAAGGACGCGCTGATTCAAAGAAACGCCGCTGGAGTGGAAAGGAGAGATCGGCGTGACCGGTGAACAGAGCTCGAGGAAGTTGAAAAATCGAGGAAATGATGCAGCAAAGGTGAGAAAGAGGCAGGGGACACGGAAACGGCGACAGCTAATTGCAGAGGCAAGAGCGAGTGAGTGAGTGAGTGCATGAGTGCGTGAGTGAGAGTGAGTGAGTGAGTGAGTGACTGAGTGAGTGAGTGAGTGAGTGAGTGAGTGAAGTGAGTGAGTGAGTGAGTGAGTGAGTGAGTGAGTGAGTGAGTGGGTGAGTGAATGAGTGAGTGAATGAGTGAGTGAGTGAGTGAGTGAGTGAGTGAGTGAGTGAGTGAGTGAATGAGTGAGTGAATGAGTGAGTGAGTGAGTGAGTGAGTGAGTGAGTGAGTGAGTGAGTGAGTGAGTGAGTGAGTGAGTGAGTGAGTGAGTGAGTGAGCGAGCAAGCGGGCGGGAGACCGTCCCCCGTCCTCGTGAAATTTCACATGAACCCTTCGGTCACTCCCAGAAAGATCGCCTTCGACGGGATGAGCCGCATTTGGGTCTAGTTGGCCGGCGTCGCGCTGGGCGGCGCCGCCGCGTCGGCGCTGCTGGCGAGCTGACGCGGCAGTTGACAGGTCGGCCCGGGCTGGGGCCGGACCATTGTGTCGGAGCGGCTGAATGCGCGGCCGCCTCTGCAGCTGGCGGCCGGCCCCGGCAGGCCGCTCCCGGCAGTCAGGCACGCCGCGACGCCAGGTGAGAGCTCGACCCGCACCGGCTCAATGCCACAATAAATTACCATTCTACTCGATAAACGGCATTAAATGGACCCGGCGCTGAATGGCCGCCGACGCCATTAGCCGAGCGGCTGAATGTCGCGACAAAACGGCCTCTCCAGTCGACACTGCCGGCCGGCGGCGGCTCGGCGGCTTGGCGGCCAGGTGGCTGCCGACGCCGCGGGCTCGGGCTGACGCCGGCCATAGGCTCGGGCTGACACCGGCCACAGGCTCGGGCTGACACCGACCACAGGCTCGGGCTGACACCGACCACAGGCTTGGGCTGACACCGGCCACAGGCTCGGGCGCCAGCCACAGACTCGGGCTGACGCCAGCCACCGGCTCGGGCTGACACCGGCCACAGGCTCGGGCTGACGCCGGCCACAGACTCGGGCTGACGCCAGCCACCGGCTCGGGCTGACACCGGCCACAGGCTCGGGCCGATGCAGACCACAAGCTCGGACTGACACCGGCCACAGGCTCGGGCTGACACCGACCACAGGCTCGGGCTGACGCCGGCCACAGGCTCGGGCTGACACCGACCACAGGCTCGGGGCGGCCGCATCGTCACCCGTCCCAGGAGAAACCTTCCATGCGTGTGGCCGGGGACGCGACTCCGATTTGGAATTGCGGGGCAGTATTTTCCAGAGGGGGTCACCTGGATGGTGTCACGACCTTAGCGCCACGGAAAAAATCCCTCCCGATAGGGGTGCTGCAATATCAGTGATATATATATATATATATATATATATATATATATATATATATAATATGCGACAGTACTTCTACTGCAAAAAACTTATACAAACTTTACTAATATCCGACATTACTTCTACTGCAGACTTCTGCACGTGAGTGCTACTCCAAAAAAATTATACTTAAAAAGCTTATACACTTCATTACATCTACTGCGAAAAACCTACGCAGTCTCTACTTATGCGCGACATTACTTCTGCTGTAAAAACCCATACACGACGTGAGTGCTAGACGACAACACCTATACTGCAAAAACATGTGTCAGTTATTACCTCTGCGGCAGACTTGACTACAACTCTCTGCAGTGGCATTACCGTTGTGTATGATTGTTAGCAGCCGGTAGAAGTGAAGCCATGTATAAGCGATGGCCGTATACGCGTTTCCAGTAAAGATAATGGTGGGTGCAAGTCTTCAAAGCACCAGTTTTGTCGTGTAGCTCTTATGTCGTGTGTAAGTCTGCAGTAGAAGTAAAGTCGTGCATAAGTAATACCTTTTGTTTTTGTTTTGCAGAAATAATGACGACCATAGCTTTTAAATGTGCAAGTTTTACCGTGTAGCACTAATGCCACCATAACAAGTTTTTGCATTATCACTTGGTAGTCAAGTGATGATGCTGAGTTTTGGGAAAATGTTAACTTGTTTCCGTAGACTTTGAGCGCCCAATATCAACCTTTCCACGCAGTCGTATATGCTGGAGTGACATATCTTTCACAAACGCTCAGCATTCGCCTTTCGGTGGTCCATGAAAACAACATAAAAGGGGCTTTCGCCCTTTTAAGGTCACCCTTCCTCTCCCCCCCCCCCGGACCTCGCACCATATACTCTATAAACTGCTGGTTGGGGATAACAGGGTCTATTGATGTGACCACTGGAAATTTTCTTACTATTCCGGCACGACATCTTGCACTATGTTCGCCACTCTGTGGATACTTTCACAGGAGGAGGGGGAGGGGGGGGGGGGGGTGGATGTATGTCTAGAGTCGATTCTTCCCAAGCACCACCGTCTAGCTGACGTTAACCGTCCACGGAAGGCGAGGCGCTACCGCGCAGCCATCAGCGAGTCGCATGTCTTCTGATCTACGCTGCGCTGCTGGCATCTGCCGTGATGCAAACGCGAATACCTGTGAGGCTTTGGACTCTGTCATCCAAGATTCCTGTGACATCCGGGCCCAGTTGCTCATTGACTTACGACAGAGGCCCTATGGCGTCACAGATACGCGGCAATGAAGAACGCCTTTGATCACAAATATGGGCACAAGCGGAGTCAGCTGATCCAACCCATGGAGACATATAGCGCATAGGAATCGCGCTATTGAATTGTATTCAAATTGAATTGAATATTAGCAATTATCATTATTCAGTATGATTGCTGTTTGAACGGTTATTAGCAGGTTCTGTGGCTAAGGACATCATTGCCGGTCACACTATCCCTATGCGATCGAGACCCGTCTTCTTGCTGGACAGACAAGACCGTCAACAGCACATCGAACGTTACCAGGCGTTGCTATGTCAACAGACGGCTTGCTTGTAAACAAATGCACTTACTTCGCGTCTCAGCCGAGTAGGGAGTGGACTTGGGCCGCGACGTTTTGGGTAAGGAATGGGCTTACCCCGAGGTAGGGAATGGACTCCCATATGCAAATAAATAACGGGCCTCTGTTATGCACACAACCCTGTCATCAAGGCACCTGTATGCATGGGTTCAACGCTGGGATCTCTGATTCATTTTAACAATGGAACATTTGCTGACGTAGCTGCGGTTAGCCTTCCTCCCCTCTCGCAGCGTCCAAGATTTGTCCACTACTCGGGAGCGTGTGCCGCATTTATCGCCGGCAAGATGGCATAAGTGGCAGCTCTCGCGAGCCGGCGCGCTCCCGTCCGTCATGCCAACGGTTCTGTTAATCGCTCTGCGGGCGCGCGGTCCGCTCCCCTCTGCCGGACAGACGGCGGTCCCCCGCCGGCCGAGGCCCCACTGCACGCCGCGCCGTCTCGGTAGTCGGGCCGCCGCCGCCCACTCATCGCCACTTGGCGCGAGGCATTGAGCGCGGCCCGGACAAATTTCACGGCCCCGCCGCGGCCCGCTGAGGAGACGCGGCCGGAAAGGCAGCGGCGTGCCTGAATGGCCGCGCGGCGCACAAAGCGGTGCGCCGTCACCGCCGCCGCGCGCGGCCCCCACAAACGGCGCCGCGTCGCGCCGCGCGCCGGCGATAAAACACGGCGTCTGACCGGCATCAGACGGCTCGTCCGTCATCGGCGCCGATCGGGGCTGGCGCGGCGGCCGGTGTGGCCGCGGCGCCCCGTCCGCGGCGGTCGGTGTGGCTGCAGTTCTCCGTCCGCGGCGGCCCCCGGGCGCCGAGACGGCGCCCGGCCTCGGCCGACACGCGGTTCCGCCCCGGCCGGCCTGCAGATGCCATTCCGACCGCCATCCAATATCGCCCTGTCTTCGGCCCACATCCTGGGATTGAATTACAGCGCCCTCGCATCGCTATTTTCGCCGATTTTCCCATTAATTTGTCGGCGGCATCTGTCACTTGTCTGCCGGCTCTGCGATCATTTATCTCCACCAAAGCGGCGTTAAAACGCTGCGAACCGCGGCTGGTGAAACCATTACAAGCACTTAGCCGGCGATGATGGATTCGACTTTCTATAATGGCACCAATGGCTCGCCATTAGAAGACGACGCGGCAATTGAACATAATCCGGCCAGGGAGCAAGTGAAGCAGAGCCCCTGTCGACCCGATCAGACCGCGTAGCGCGGCCGTCGACTCGTCATTATCTAATTCCGGCGGTGTTGGCGAGCCGGCCGCCCATTGGCCGGCCCACGCGGGGTGGGCGGGGTCTGGCTCGGCGCGCCGGTGCCGGCGACGAATGGCGGCCAGCCGGCGGCCGCACGCGCTGACCCGCACCACCCGGCCAACCGGCCAGCCACGGCCTGACATCCGCACCCCGCAGCCGGAGGTACACCTCGCCGGCGGCTGCACCACGCCCGTATCGTCTGGGACAACCGCGGCGTCACCAGCTCGCTGCTC